AAGGAGTAATCGACTAGGAAAAGTTTAAAGAATGCTTTCATGAAAATTTTCTCCTTCCTCGCCAACTAAAAGATAAAAAAAACCCAAATAGATGAGGCTATCGATTTGTTTGTCACTTCCATTCGTCTCTCAGTAGAACAAGCAACGGTTCGTCAGTTTAAACATAACAAATCGTTTTCCTCGATTCCTCGATACATCCTGTCCCTTATTAATATGAAGAATAGACATAGAAGATTATGGCAACGCTACAGAACTCCTTCTTTTCGCAGAAGATATAATCAGCTCATTAGACGAGTCAAATGGGAATTAGACAGATTCAGATACGAATCTTATAACAAATATGTATCAAATCTGTCCTCTGATGACAACAACTCCTTATGGCTCGCAACTAAACGAATATTGAAAGAACGCACCCCAATACCCAGTTTAATAAACAACGGTCAGGTATATGAAAGCAAAACGGACAAAGCTAATGTTTTAGCCGATTACTATCAGCGTTCATTTCGTCTGAATGATGAATTTTAAGACCCTGAATTTTCAGCTCATGTTGCCACAGTTTATTCCTGCCCACCTATTACGGTGGAACGGCCAATTAAATATACTTCTCCATCTGAAATCTCTAACTTCATCAAGTCGCTAAGAATCAAGAAAACTCCTGGACACGACGGAATACCTAACATTATTTTACATAATCTACCACGAAAAGGACTTGCTTTCCTTGCTTCTCTGTTCAACGCCTGTCTCACAAAATCATACTTCCCGCGAATGTGGAAACATTCTCTCATAATTGTCATCCATAAGCCTCGGAAACCTGCATCGCAAGTAAATAGTTATCGCTCGATTATCCTCCTCCCCACATTGTCTAAATTGTTTGAAAAAATCATTAAACAACGCCTAGACTCCTACGTAGATAGTGCTTCCCTAATACCTCCTCATCAGTTTGGTTTTCGCTCCCACCACTCCACGACACATCAACTTTTAAGAGTTTCTGAAGACATCATTAAAGGATTTGAAAGAAAATGTCATACTGCTGCAGTTTTTCTTGATGTAAGTCAGGCCTTTGACCGTGTTTGGCACGATGGTTTGTTGTTTAAACTAAGAAAGTTCGGAGTCCCCTCCTACCTACAGAGAATTATTGAAAGCTTCCTTGAAGATAGAACGTTTTCAGTTAATATTGATGGCTCTATATCAACTGCCAGACCAATTGAAGCCGGAGTCCCACAGGGTGCAATTCTTTCACCTCTATTATAAACCATTTACACTTCTGATTTGCCATTGTCAAACCATGTCCAAACAGCCGTGTTTGCTGATGACACCCTACTCTACTCTACACACCACGACATCGAAGTTGTGGCCAATAACATTCAAATTTCCTTAAACGATTTGGTGGAATGGTTCTCAAAATGGAGAATAGCCATAAATCCGATGAAGAGTGAAGCGAAGATTTTTACCCTCCGAAAACCGTTAGATCCTCCAAATTTAGAAATTCTAGGTGACCAGATTGCATGGAACCCTCCTGACCAAGCAATAAAATATTTAGGTGTATACTTCGACCGAAAGTTAAAATGGAAATTTCATATTAATAAAAAATTAAATTTGGCTTAAGGCAGATTATCAAATTTTTTTTCCTTTAATCAACAAAAAATCATGTATGTCTATGAAGAATGGAACCCTTTTATACAAAACACTTCTACGTCCACTATTGTTATACGCCTGCCCAGTATGGGGAACTGCTTCATCAAGCTCGATTCGTAAACTGCAAACATTTCAAAATAAAGTTTTAAGGATAATTCTAAAATGTCCCTGGTATTTTCGAACCCGTCAAATACATTTAGAACTGGGAATAAAACCTATAGAAGATTTCATCAAGAAAATTACATCTAAATTATTTACAAAACTTCCATTAACCAGCAGCATTGGATTTTATAACACAGGCCAACCTTCTGAAATCCAGAGACTCCGACTACAACCCAGATTTCCTCAAGATGTATTATTATAACCATTTTTTTTTCATTTGTGTTTCATTGATGGACAGTGCCTTTACAGTCCGACCCGCTAAAACAGTGACAATAAGTGCCTGAGGGGCTAGCCATAGCTGACCTCTACCTATGTTAATGTAACTAGGGTTGCTTTCAGAGAGGTGAAAGCCAGTTGAGCGTAACAAACGTGATTTGATATTTGTATAAGTAACTAAATGTAAAAAGGTCAATAGATTTATTTACTAATGCTGGTTTTAAAGATTAAAATTATATTAACTCAAATTTATCTCTTCGAGAAGTGCATTATGGTAGTTTTGACCAGGAAAATATTACAGTAGTTGGAATCTGATATTAACATCCAAAAAGTAAAGTATAAAAATGAGAAAGGTAATTTAACATTCAAATGCAACTGTAGCCTACAACAAAAAAAAACATTGGGCTACATTTTTCACCCTTACAATCGGTTAAAGTATTTAAGTATAAAAAAAAAACAGTAACTATAAAAAAACGAGTATTAAAGTATAACAACAGGAGGGGAAATTTGACATTTAAATTCAACCGTGTAACATAAAATGGCTGAAATGTAGGCCTAAACATAAGTAATAAGTAAACATCGCATTCAGCTGATTTAAGTGAAAACAGAATAATATAATAAGTAGGGAAGACATGCCTTAAATATACAATGTAGATAATATAATTAGAAATTAGTAGCCTACTTCTGGACAGGCCTAGACAATTATCCATACCGTGGTTAAAAGTGTACTTCTATAAGCCCAGGTTTACTTATCAACGGTTGTAACTGGACGTATGTATGTATAGTCCGTGGCTTGGCAATCAAATAACAGTATTTATATAGGATGGGCTACTGTTATCAACATTTGAAATAACTGAATTGTTACCAAATTACTGTTTCACAAAATGCAGATTCCATTTTCAGCCGAGCCATTAAAATGAGGATTTGCCGAACAATTATTAATATTACAGAATAGTATATAATGATATACAACTTTTCACATTCCATAATTATATGTTAGTTTTGCTATGGTCAAAGGTACAAATCCAAAAGTTCTCTTTTCTTTTGGTCAGTATGTAATAATTTGCTAGAATCATTGACTTTATATAAAGTCAAAGCTAGAATACTGTAGATGGTTTGTTAAGTTAAGACCATATGCAAGCATTTTTGAAATCGTTTCCCCGTTTAACCTTAACCAACTATTCCATTCCAAAAGTTAAAAAATTATATGGTGCAACACAAATAAACAACCCGATCACCTACCTATAACTGACGGGTGGCGTCGTCCTGTAATCCAGCTACATGGAGGTCACGGATTGTGGATATTTATAGGCATGCGCTGTGGATGGGATACTCCCTGGTGTGGATTAACGTCCGCACTAGTGAGTACTACTACTATCCGCAGTACTATCCTGATAATTAGACCAATTCGTATATACCAAGGAAAAATGTGGTTCGGATTCCACTATAAACTGTAGGTCTCTTAGTTGCCATTAGCTGTTTGGGCTATTAATTAACAGCTGTGTCTAAGGAATGTCGGCCTTAGTCACTAACAAGACTACAAGATCGCGCCACTCATCCTACACTCATCTCCATTCATACTTGGCTTAAAATACCTACATAGTATGGTCACCATTTCATAAGAAAGTATAAAGTATACCTACACTATACCTTCCTAATCTAACCTTACTTCAAAACACTTAATGTAGTCACGAATACTCATAAACCCCGACCTACCTCCCCACATGCCTAAATCAGTGTTCAATCTGCGTTTTATCAATAAGTGTAATAACTTACTGTACCGTCGATGTAATTAAACATAATATAACCATAGATAAAACATACTTGTGTTGGTTAGTCTATGATATAACCTATGAGGTATTATCGGATTAAATACCGATTTCGATGCGGTTCGATATATCGCTTATTAAATCCTGATTTCTAACATTGGCTGTTTCTAATCAGCTGGCAACACAAATAGGTTCCCAAGAAAGTAGTCACCGGTCCGTATCCCTCCGCTCCTTGTTTATGCTCCGCGCATTGAGAAAGTAGTTCAGTATATTTTCTCGATTTTCAGTGAATTCCGTGCCTTAAAAAAAATGTTTTAACGGCATTTTATTGTTTATTAAAATCATAGGAATGGTTTAAAATCGTTTAAAAGAAAAGTATAGAAAGTTCAGAAATACCTCATGATTCTCTTGTTTACATTTTTCTTGTAAACAAAAAAAACTGTCATAGCTACTTTAGTCCCATAAGCCCAATGTTAAAAATTTTAAATTTTAAGTTCGTTTTAAATTGCATTAGCATTATCTAATTGAAATTTGTTTGTTTACAAACCATCTCATTATTAGTCTAAGTAGTCTTGTTAAGTTTGGCTGAAATGTGTTCAGCCGTTATTGAGTGATGGTGTTATATTGTTTGCATTGAAGTTGATCCCAAAGAGCTTCGCTCGCTCCGCTCAATTAATAATGTTATTTTTGTCTTTCTTATACTATACCTAACCTGTAGCAATGTAATGCTGATCGGTTAATAAACTCTTTAAAAAAATTTGGACAAAACATAAAAAACATAGGTACGACACACCTGATCCAATAATGATAAAATTGTCATTTGAAAGAGTAAAACCATATGGCAATTATGAAAATAGAACGAACTATTTTTACTGTAAATAAAATGTATCAGAAATGTTTAATCATTTACCATATGTGTATCAGTTAATTTACAATCACAATTTTCCTTTTGTTATAGCCTATATCTGATGATTGATCTTTTATATTGTACTTTGAACTACAAACAAATGTTTCGAACTGTTTTTTATACGCAAACAACTAAGTACACTGTAGATTTCCAAACCGAGGGTGGAGTTTTTCTGTCAACAGCTGAGTAAACATTAACCGACCACTTAAAGTGATGACAATACTAACTGCGACTGCGACTGCTACTAGTGCTACTGATTACAGTACATCACGTGACACCCCTCCCCCCCCGCGCACCAACACAACTGGACAGTTGCACTAGTTGCAGTTGAAAAGTTGACTGACTACCGACTTTGACTAGTCTCGTCTCAGTCCGATAGACACACACACTCAGCCATGGTCGTCACTTGGGGGCTGGGATTGGTGTTATTGTTGTCACCGGTTTATGGGAAATACGTTCACATCGAGACGGGGAAATGTGGCTACCCAGTGAGTATTTTGTTAATAAATAATGTTTTAGTGATCTAACAATAGTCATACCTGAGATACCTATCCTTATCCTTATATATAATACGTGAAGGCGATTTATACGAAACACCTCCGTTAATAATAGACGGATAAAAAAAAACGATTTATCAAAATTGTATTTTTGTGTAGATGCCCCCTTTCACCGTTTCCTGTAATAAATGTCCTCGGGCTATGCCCCACAGGCCATCAAAATCCCAATGTATTTCTTATGAAGAAAAGATGTTTATTTAACAGACGAATAATTTGTATTAAATACAGCTGTTCATAGTAAACAGATATGATACACACAAAAGCGCTAGTTTTCAGAGTGAGTTCGTTTTCAGTTTTGATAACTGAAGTGGAGAGATATTGATTAGCCTACATTATAATATTTGAGTTGGCCCTTTTAAGTAGGTAATCGGGAATTATGACTGTTATACGTTACAAAATAACGCCTGGAATACTTTGCAATTGCTCGAATTCGAGAAACAGGTGCACTTAGTATAGTTTTTACCTATATAATACGCGAAGTCAATTTCTACAAAACACTAAACTCCTCCTTTAATAATGGACGGATTTTTATAAACGATGTGTCAAAATTAAGTATTTTTGTGTAGACACGCCCCCTTTCACCAGTTCCTGTAATAAACGTCCTCGGGCTTTGCCCCACAGGCCATAAAAGTCCCAAAGTATTTCTTATGAAGAAAATTAAATAACCCAGCTGTTATGCTTCGTTCTGCTATTTAATTAAATTGGTTTATTATGAAGATTTGTTTCTTGGTGCCATGTGGTCAATGAATTACACCTTTGCATATACGGTATTGCAATACACTATATAAAGTGATGGTAAAACATGAAGAAATATGCATTTAAATAATTAATAAGTACAATTGAGCTCTCCATATATGTTTCATGGTAAGTGTGTTGTAACTGTTTCTTATGTAGGTTTAAAAAACCTAATTATTCTTTTCTTCATTCTCACCCCGTCAGGCAAAGCAACTAGTATTTATTTATTACCGGTACTAACTATTGAAATATAGTATATTACGTTACTAGTCCTGAAAATAAGTGTTTACCGGACGAGTGTGGTCGTTCCCGTGCGAGACGAAGTCAAATACGGGATTACCATACGAGTCCGGTACACACATTTTGGACGAGTTACGTACGATAGTTTACGCCATACTACTTAATTCGTACAAATCCTTATAAATTTCCACCAACTAAAGGACCAAACATCACTAGTCATAACCTCTAAGAGAGGTTATGTTTTTGTTTATAACTAAATCATTGCCACGCAAATACAGTATAGTCAGCTGATTGGTGTCCGGCAAAACTCATTGCAGAACAGTATTACGCAATGAAACCCCATTTGATTAAGCTGGTGGCAAACAGCTGTTTTCTGGACTAAATCCTTGCATGGGAAGTTCGTCAAAATAGTGTAGTGTGGCGTAAAATATATTATATAGTCATCTGGCTGCATACTTTGATTTTAGTAGTGCCATGAGAAAAACCGCTAAACAAGTCAACGGGGAATTTTTGCTTTGAATAAGAAAATTGAAAAACTGTTAAGCCCATACAATAATTTGGTTTATAATCACAGTTTTGTGCCCTAACTTGAATTGTTCACTACTGTACTGTATTGTTGGTGTCAATAACTTGATGGCTTCAAGCTTATTATCTTTCTGGTGTCAGTCGTTCACTTCAAGCCCAATCCGACTAGTAAATAAGAACTTCAAACAAACAAACTCACAAACTTTCACATTTATAATAATAGTATGATATGTAGAATTACCAATAAAAGTTATGAGTGTAATTGATTGTAAAAATGGCGATTTTGCCATGAACAAATCAAATTAGTAAATCAATACTTTTTGTAAAATGTCGAACTAAACTGCCAATAATTCTCAAGCACCAGCAATTCTCAAAACCAAACTGTTTGTAGCACTAATTATGGGAACACTACCTATTTAATTTACATTTGTGAACCAACCCACCAAACGTATTTGACAATTAAAATGGTTATTGGTTATAACATATAGAGTAATATAAATACATATTTTGTATAGTTTCCAAGATTTCAAATGATTTCACACAATAAGTTTAGAGGTAAAACATTGCCTCATTACAATATTAGCTGGAAACGATTAGGTGAAATACTTTTTAATGCAAATTTTAACTGCTAAATTGAAAGCTTGAAGGAAAATCTATAGAACAGTGAAAATGAGCTATTGTGGAGGCTCAATAGTTCACTAACTGAACAAGAGATGACCTATGAATTATTTATCAAGTTATTCATATATTCTAAATTTCTGCCTCCCCTAATTAGCTTCTCTTTCTTTGAAAGTTTGTAAAAGGCCAACATGATGAAACAAGTGAATACAATCATCTAACATCAGTCTGTTGCAGAAAATGATTTTAAAGTTTGCTCAACTGTAATAAAGATAATTGGTTAAACACATTTTTAGACTAAACGAGGTCAATCTATTACAGAACTTGATACTTTTGAAGTTATGAACTTTCTTAGTTAGTATTTATTTAATAACTGTTATGATCAAAATTGTTTAAATGAGCGAATGTTAGAGTTTTAAATTCATAAACTACTACATAGCCATCTTTAGTATATCTATCTCTGGTATACTAGACGGCTATGACTACTAGCCTATAGGATATCTTGTGGTACAGCTTTTAAATAGATGAACAATACGTTCCTTTATTTGCAAAGCTAAACAAAAATGCCCTAATTCTCTCAATACCTGAATTATAAAACAATCTGAATTATAATAACAAAACAATCTACCTGAATTATAAAACTTCAAGTTAAAACTGCTTGTAAAATTTTAATTACCGGTAGGCCTAAGTTGTATTATTTATTTTTAAATAGATTGAATCATATTCTAAAATTAATCTATACAAATAATTGGAATAGTTTGAAAATAACACGAATACTTCCCATAGTTTTAAAATTATTTTTAAATCCTAACAGCAACTCCATTGGAGTCTTGAGACTCTGATGAAAGCAGGTTAGCGATTTTGTAAAAGTTTCTTTCTTTGTTATTGGTTACAACTGTTTATTTATTATTATTGTTTAACTTTTGTTTTGAGATGAGTTATTGAAATTACTAAATAAAATACTGTTCCTAAAATGTTGATTTTGATTTAATAAATAGTTTCTTTACATGGTGTCAGGTAGAAATAAATATGGGAAGCAGAAATAAAAGAACATCTAAAAGGAATTTGAAGAAAAGGGATTACTTACAAAACGAATTTGATCTTGAATCAAGTGAAGATGAGTCTAGGCCTAGGAATCAGGTTTGTTCGAAGAGCGGTTACAGAGATAAAAGCTCAACTGAAGCTTTGAGAGTTACTTCAGTGTCAGGTATGCAAACTCAAATTTCTCCACCTGAAGCTTTTGATTTTCAAAATCCCGCCTTGTGGCGTCGTTGGATGAAAAGGTTTAAGAGGTACAGGATTGCTTCAGAGCTCTGCTTTAAGCCTGACAGTCAACAATTAAGTATGCTCTTGTACACTCTAGGCGACAAGGGTGAGGATCTTTTCCGTAGGTACCTTTGGTATTTCGGAAGAAAATAATCTTCAGTATGAAGAAGTAGTTAAAAGCTTCAATGATTTCTTAAAAGTCAAATGTAACGTGTATGAACGTGCCAAGTTTCTTAAGAGAAGACAAGGGGCCGATAAAACAGTGGATTCTTTTATAAATGACCTTCATAAATTAGCTGAAACGTGTGAATTCGGAAATTTGAAGGAAGAGTTGCTATGTGATTTGATTGTAATTGGAGTCAATGATTAAAACTTCAGAGACTCTACAAATGGACGATTCATTAACTTTCGGCAAAACTACCAAAGTTCGGCAATCCAAGTCTGTTTTGAAACAGCAAAATGTAGTAAGAGATAGAGCGACATATAGATAGCGACATATCAAATACAATTAGCCAAGAGGAAGTAGGAGTCGTTAGCAATAAAGTAGACTCTTTCAGAAACAAGTTAAGATGTAGTAAATGTAACCTATTTCATAAGTATAGGGAGTGCCCGGCATATAAAGTTGAGTGTCTTAGATGTGGGTCAAGGGACATTTTGCTAGGTGTTGTATAAAAGGACAGAAAACAATACGGGAAGTTGAGGAAAAAAAGGAAAATGAAACTTCAAATTCTTGTCTAGGTGAAATTCAAGTTAAGAAATATGGCAAAGAATGTCCTGTAGTTGAAATAGAAATCAATGAATGTAAAGTTCTGTTTAAAATGGATACAGGGGCCGATGTATCAGTCATAGGAAAACATCAGGCTCGATCCCTCGGTCTCCAATTGCAGTGTTGCGATCAAGTATTGTATGGACCGGGCAAAAATAAGCTCAACATTCTGGGTGTAGCTAAGGTTCTTCTCAAATACAATGACCGAGTATTGCCAGAAGATTTGTACGTGCTAGGTAAACAAAATTCCCCGTTGCTTAGCCGAAATGCATTACTTAGTTTAGGTCTGATAACCTTTAATGTCAATTTGATTGATAAGGATGATGTTGAACAGTTATGCCCAGAGTTTTTCAATGGGATGGGCAGTCTAAACAGTAGTTACAAGATTAAACTACAAGATAATGCTCAGCCTTATGCAGTAATGTCCCCCAGATGAGTGGCTGTATCTCTATACCAACCAGTACGAGAAGAGCTAGATAAAATGATAAAAGAAGGTGTTATTGAAGCCATATCAGAACCAACAGAATGGTGTTCACCCATTGTAGTGGTGCCTTGTGTAGGAGATAGAATAAGGCTATGTGCAGAGTATACAAAATTGAATACTTATGTGCAAAGAGAACATTTACAACTACGATCAGTTGAAGAATCCTTAGCTAAGATTGAAGGAGGCAAATATTTCAGTAAACTGGACGCAGCTAATGGATTTTGGCAAATACCTCTTGATGAAAGTTCATCTAAGTTAACAACTTTCATTACTCCATTTGGAAGGTATTATTTCAAA